AGCCATGCTGGCTGGGGAATTCTGGGAGTTGAAGTCCATACAGCTTAAAGCTGCCAAGGTTGAGAAACGCTGTGCTAGTGCATTTCTAAGGAATCTCTGATGAGACAGCTGGAGCATGGAAGAGTATTCCATGCAAGAGCACAAACGTGTTCTCATTTGCACGGCACTTTTGGGGAATTGCAAACACTAGTGGGACAGACCCCTCCCCCAAGGAGCTCACAGTCTGATTTCAGTTGTGTAGGGGGAGGCATGGGGATCCACCATGGGAATCCACAAAGTCAAGAGGGCAGGCACCACCGTGCAATTGAAGCCCCAGCCTGCACGTGTGCAGATGTGACACATGCAAAAAGGAGTGGGGGCCTCCGTTGCGCAGTCACGGCCACCCTCTTCGCTTTTTTGATGTGCCCCCCCCCCCCATGTGCATCCCTGAATAGCAGTGACTTGATGTAGAGCTGTTGAGGAATCATTTGGTGGGAACTGAGCACTAAGTCACTGAAATTAAAAGCGTGGTGAGATCGTGATTCTCCTGCAAGACACGTACCGGAAGTGATTTCCCCCCCTTTGTCTGAATTCCTAGATGCAGACCTGATGGAATTCGGGGAGGCTTATGCTGGAAAGACGTCTATAGAATTAGACCAATAACATTCCAAAAAATGTAAGGAGTGGCTCTTTTTAATGATTTAATTTTTTTTTTAGTGTAGGTATATTTAAAATAGGGGGGAAAGAAATCCCAGGTTGATGCTATAAACCCAAGTGTTAACAGGTGTGACATCTAACAGGGATTAAATTTATCGGACTGCAAATGGATAAGATAGATTATGAAATAAGTTCTTGAACAAATCCAAAGTCCCCTCCAGTCCAAGTTCAGCCATTTTCCTTTATTCTCCCTCAAGCAAAGAGAGTTTCATTTCCCATGCTGGCCGGGGAATTCTGGGAGTTGAAGTCCACACATCTTAAAGTTGCCAAGCTGGAAAAACACCGTTTTAAAGGTATTTAATACTAAATCAGAGCATCTAGCTTGACGTTTTCTGGAATGACATCAGACCGAAGACCCCATAACCATCACCCCAAAGTGAAGGGCACCTGTGCATTCTCTGGGATTCACCTTATGTGGCAAAGGGACTCATATGATGCAATTAGAATTGGTGCAAATTAGAAAGTTGGTATTTTGATGGGGCTGGAGACACGTGCAAAGTGTGAACCTGGTTCACCCCCCCCCCCCCCCGCCCCATCGTGCCTCAACAAGGGCTAGAAATTCAGTTGGGGAGCTGAAGTAGCAAAACTGGTCCGTTATTGAATTGCGCAGTGCCAAGATGGCGTCCTTACACACTCCTCGACGGTCCTTTCCCCCGTGTTGCGTCTGTGAGTTTCTGGAGGTTAAGAGCAGGGATGGCAACCCAGCAAATTTTCACTATGAAAATATTTTTTTCTCCTTAGGGGAAATGATGGGGGCAGGAAGCAAATTCTTCAGCTTGGAAACAGGAAAACGTGGGCATTGTGCAAACTGGCACTCGGTAGGGCATTCTGCTGGTGAAGTAAAAAGACTGAGGGGAAGGGCTCGGGGTCTTTCGTGAAGCCCGTTTGTGCCCCACATCAGCGGGAAGAAGGGGTGCGTGGGATGGAAGGGAACGAGAAGGATATTGGTGGCTGAGAAAATTAAAAAATGGTCTTGCACCTGAAGATGAAAACAACGGCATAAATAATTCTGACCTGTTTTATTTGCCTCTCCCATCACCAGCATGCTTGTGAGAATCCCTCGGCTGGATTCCATTCAAGGTTAAAACTATCTACCTCAACAACAGCAAAGCTGGGCAGACTTTGGCCTTGTGTAATCTCCGCCAATATCCTGTGTTTTATCGATGGGACCGAGTTACAAGGTAGTTACAGGCAGGCAGGTGCTACGAATTAAGGGACAGGAGAGGCTGAGAGAGGCTTAGTCAGGAATTCGAAACAGGTGCCAGAACCAAGTTCACCAATCTTTTGGTGCAAAACTCTCCCTTGCTTTAGCTACCCAGTATTTGGGGGGGGGGGGATTTTAACTGATAGGCAGAAGCCCTGGATCATTTATGGCCAATGATTTAGAAACCTGCAGTGACACCCCAACTGGCCGTCTCTTCATCCTTGCATTCAAAATAAAGCTGAAGTTGCCCTTGAACTGAGCTCAGCCGCTGGTGGCCTCACAGATGCATCCACGTGGTTTTCTAGAAATGCAAAAGTGCTTTCTTGTTGCTCACAGCCCTGGCACTGGGTCCAACCCCTGCTTATCTTTGTCAAGATCAGCCAAGACAACAGTTTAAAGTTCCATCGAAGCACTGAGGACTGAGAGGTTTGTTTTCATAAATCTTGCAGGTGATTGCAAGGTTCCTGCCCGGGGGCCACTCTTTCATCGCTTTCTGGGATCCAAATCTTGGGATCTGACTTTCGGCAGGCTTTGCCATGTTCCCCTATTCTCTAGCAAGTGTTCGGTGACAAGAGTGGTCCGGAGACCTCGCAGGAAAAGGACTCTGTGCTTTCTCCAGAATGAACCACTGGTGCTTTGAGATTTACCTAGAAATTGTCAATCCCAGGACGCACTCAAAGATCTCAGCTTTCCTGAGGGCCCAACTAGGCACGGCAATCAATGAAGCTAAGCTCTCGCTGCCTGCTATTTTTTTTTTTTAAGTCAAGATCTCATTCAACGTGGGAATAGCACCCAGGTGGCTCAGGCACCCTAGCTGGCGGTTGGTCAGCCTTAGTGCAGCAGAGCCAAGTAGCCGGGGGACCAAGTCTAGGAAAGGCTGCTCAACCATGGAAGGTCATCTTCTGGCATCTAGACAGAAGCGGGAGAAGAAAGGAGAAGGGTCATGCAATGTGTTTTGGGGAATGGGGGCCACAGAGATGTACAGTACTTGAATGAAATAGTGATGGAGGCTGGAGGCTGAGAACTTGCTTATGTTGTAGAGAGGAGGAATTGCAGCTGGGGAGACACTAAGTAGGAGATAGGAGGTGGCATGGTCCAACAGGCAAGAGGAAGGATGGAAGAAGCACCATGAACTGCTGGAAGTGATGGCGATGGACTTCTTTCATCCTCCTCTTTCGATTCCACCTTCCCCTCCATAATGGAGTTTATCTATATAGGGGGGGGGGGAAAAGCAGGAAAATGATGGAATTGTTGCATTGAAAGGGACCAGAGGGATCATCTAACTCAACCCTCTGCAATGTTCAGGAAAACCAATTAAACCATCCAGGAGAGGTGGATCTCCAGCATCTTTTTAACAGCCTCCAGAGGTGGAGAACCCCTAACCTCCACA